TCCCAATACAGTGTTAAATGCTCAACATTTAAGTGGCTCTTCTGGAGTCTTTCTGGGTTTGACATCCTTTAGGAGGCCCATAAACATGGTTTGTGGCGTGGAGGCACAAACTCAAAGCTTACTCTGAAGCTAAATCTGTCTATAGGAGTGAATTGAATCATGCCCAGGAGTGCTTCTGGCACTGCAACAAGGTAATTTACAGCAGTGAAGTGTGAGAATGCTCCTTGGCACAGCTTTGACACTTTTCAGCCATCACATTCCCCAGCACTCCCAAGCACGCTGTGGGGACCATCCCCAGTGCTGCATGCAGCCACCAGGTCCTGCAGACCAAGGTGTTCCTGTGCCAGCTGGCTTCAGAATCACAGAACTTTTCCATGCACACAGACTTAGCCTGTGAGACTCAAGAACTGCTGCAATTCTTTTCAGCTTAATTGGGCAGGTAGAGCTGCCAGTGTGGTAGGCGAGCAGAGGTACTCTTCTAAATTTCATAGAGTCATGAAGGTTGGAAAAAACCACTAAAGGTCATTGAGTCCAATCACCACCATGCCTACTGACCGTGTCCCTGAATAGCATCATAGAATCATTGAGGTAGGAGAAGACCTCTAAGATTACCAAGTCCCACTGTCACCCAGCCCCACTGTGCCCGCTTTGGAGGATGCCAAAACATACACAGCAGTCCCAGATTCAGATATCAGCACACTGAGGCTTCTTCACGGCTCTTCAAGGTTAGGAATTACTCTCTCTGCAGAAAACTGGGGCTCCCAAGAGCCCATCTGTGAGGTTGAGGAACAACCCTCCCACGATGTCCATGACCTCTTGAGTGTGGTTTGGTGACAGCGTGCCCACTTTTTCCATTTGGTAACACAACCTCAACACTCAAGAGCCTCATCTGCTCTGCAACGCTGTACGGTTCCCACCATCTTCTGAAAGGAAAAGATTTCCATTCCAGTCTTTAAACACTCCCATGTGAGCTCCTCTGCTGTGAGGCTGTTTCTGTGCCTGTCTGGCACCAGATCAGTTCTCTTGACGCTCTTCTGGATTTGTTGTATGTATTGTACTACATGCCAGAGACACGATACATGTGATGTACATCTCCGTGAATTCCTTTAACGTTCCTCTGAATATCGAACAGCACAGCTCCAATGGCTGTTCGTTTGACAATAAAACAAAGGTTTTAATATTTAGCAGATTATTTAAGTCTCTCACCAGCTGTGACATGAACATGGTCCTGTTGTAAATTAGGATCTATGCTGGAAAAGAACTTTATTAGCTAGGACACAACAATTTTAGCAGTGGGAGAGAACAGTGTGATGGGTTATGTGGCTTAATACTCCATTACTGAAATAATCTCTTTATACAGTATTTTTTCTTTCAGGATGTGATCAGGACTGGCCCAACTCATTTGAAGGAGTCCCTCAGTGCCACATTTCCACATTTCCTGAATACCTCCAGCAAGTGAGCCCACCACCTCCCTATGCAGCCTGTTCCAGTTCCAGACCACCCTTTTGAAGAAGGAATTGTTCCTAACATCCATCCTGTCCATGCTTAGCTGGGCACGTTCAGCCCTTGGAATGCATGGTGAAGTTGCTATCCCTGGAGGTGTTCAAGAAATGTGGAGATCGGAGAATCATAGAATCACCAAGGTTGGAAAAGACCTAAAAGCTCATCCAGTCCAACCGTTCACCTGTTCCCAACAGCTCCTACTAAACCATGTCCCTCAACACAACATCCAGCCTTTCCTTGAACACCCCCAGGCTCGGTGACTCCACCACCTCCCTGGGCAGCCCATTCCAGTGCCCAGGATGTGTCCAGATGTTCCAGTGTCCAGAGATGTGGCCCTTAAGGACATGCATGGTTTGTGGGCACGGTAGGCATGGGTTGGACTTGGTGATCTGAGAGGTGTTCTTCAACTTGAATGGCTCCATGACTCTGCGTTGTCTTTACAATGAACATTATGGCATTTTCTTCAGGAAGTCTTTTTTTGCTGGTCATGAAACTTGCTTGAATACAGCCAGGAAAACCGATCCTCTTTGACTCATCCCCTGTAACTGTTCTTAGCAATACTGCAAAGATGGGATATAATTTGCTGCTCTAGCAGAAAAGGGAAATCAGAAATTCCTGAAGCGGATGCTAATGCTACTGCTTTTGATGTGCGGCCAGTCCTGAATCAGAGACTGCTCAATTGATTTGCCTCTTACTTACCTTAATCCTTCATGTAAATGGATGTTGTCACCACATAATCGATCCATCTCATCAGAGGGTGAGAGGATCATCCCTTCAGATCGCTGAGAACTTCTCTTCCATGGCTCCCAGGCAGTGTTCCACATTTCTTCCCATCTGTGGTTCAGCTGTTTCTGGACTAGACTGTAGCCCTTTGTGAAGTACCAACCAGACCAGGCTTTTCTTCCATGCCTGATGGGCAGGGGAAGGGCTGGCTGAGCACGTGTTAGACTGGGACCCTTTTAAAGATATTCTTACAGAGGGAAGATGCAACTCTACAACCACTACAACTGGCAGAGGTTGTAAAGGGCAGTGTGACGCTTGATAATATTTTCAACATGCTTCAGTTGGCTTTAAGCCAAACTGTCACAAACAGCTCAGGTACATTTGGTATGGAGAAAATGCATGACATGAAGTCCTGAAGACATCTGGAAATGGGGGTACGGTTCAATGAATCCTTCTGGACTTCAAACTGGAGATGTTCCATTAATGCCTTTCTGGAACAGCGCTGACACCAATTCACAGTGTGATGTGTAGAGCTGCTAGTGGTGACACAAGTCCAGCTGGAAGACACCCGCTGGGGGTGTGCCTCAAGGGTTGTCACTGGAGCCACAACTATTTAGGATCTTCAGTAATGATTTAGATGAAAGGAGAGCACTCACCCCCAATGAGTGCAAAACTGTGAGAGCAGCAGATACACCAGATGGTTGGAGTGCCATTAGAGGGACCTTGGCAGACCTTACCAAACCGGTTGGTGTCCCATCCCTGGAGACAGCCAAGGTGAGGCTGAACGGGGATCTGAGTGCCTGATCCAGCTGTAGGTACCCCTGCTCACTGCAGGGAATTGTACTAGATGGCCTTTAAAGGTCCCTTCCAACTCAAACAATTCAAAATCTTTCCCAGTGCCATACCACCTAGAGGATGAAGGAAAGGCTGTGGGTATTATCTGCCTAGATTTTAGTACAGCCTTTGTCTCTGTCTCCCATGGTATTCCCCTGAAGAAGTTGGTAGATGGGAGTCACCATCCCTGGAGGTGTTCCAGAACCACAGAGATGTGGCACTGAGGGACACGGTCAGTGGGCGTAATGAGATGGGCTGGGGTTGGTGATGTCAGAGGACTTTTCCAACCTGAAAGATCCTATGATTCTATCCAGTGAAACGGCCAGATGCACTTTTATAGTTAGGAGAACAATTTCGGTCTATTTCAGCCTACATAAACATAAGGATGTAAATTTTCCACTCCTACCGATTAGCAGCGTGCCCTTTGGCTGGCCAAAATCTGCTTTCCTGAGTTTCAGATCCTTTTTGGCTCATTCGTCATCAATTCCAACAGAACGGGACTGGCAGCCTAACAATGTACTGACATTATTTTAGCACTCAGTTTTGGCTCTCTTATCCTCTTACTAACACACTGCTCCAGGGATTGAGAGGAAGTAAAATTGGGCAAGTTATTCACTTGATCTCCTATTTACTCTATTTTTCTATATTCAGAATCAGGACGAACATCATAGCGGAGGAAAAACAAGATAATAACATGCAGCACTTCCACGTAGAGCATTATTCCTAGCAAAGATGGTGGGTAAGAAAATGACATACAGTGACAGTATGACAGTACAAAATAGGAGGACAGGGACTGAGGCATGTTGGCTCTTTCCTTTCTCCAGGAAATTCCTTAAGATTGGTGCCATGTGCTGCAATCTGTCCCCTTCCCTAAGCCAAAGGATTTCTGCAAGGTGCCTTGGCAGACCCAGGGATAAATCTTTACTGGAAGGATCACCGAAAGACAAACTGATCTCCAACAGGAGATGCACACTTACCTCAATCTTATTTTTAAGTTGATGGCAGAATTGTAATAAAAAGCCACCCCAAAATTACCCAAAGTGAATTTCAGCACATGTAGCTTTGAAGCGTTTTCAGCAATCGAAAATACAAAGAAATATAGATTTAATTATAAAAAAAAAAAATAAAAATCACAATAATTTCCAATTAATGTATCTGATAAGATGTAAAAGAAACCCCAACAATCAGAAACATGGGATTGATCGCCATTAATGCTCTGCGTACAAGGAAAAACATGCTCAAAAATGCTGGAAATTTGTTCTGCTGGAGGGAGACGCTGAACATCTGGCTGTTCCTGAGAAAAGCAAAAGGGCTCCCTCTGGAGTGGATTCCGAAATCAACACAGGACTCAGATTTTAATAGGTGGGCAGCAGAAATGAAAATCAGTAACAGAGCAAACGCGTTCTTGCCTCTTGTTGGTTTGCTCATCCTGCGCACAGTGAGCACAGCAGACTCATTCAAGCAGACTATGCCATGATTGAGAGATATGGATCCATGCCTAGAATATTAAGTCATTAATTAGTTTTCATGCATGGGCTTGTATGTGGCAAAGAGGCAAATTAAGGATACCTGAAGAGACAAGAAAGCTTTCCTAGCAAGGAAAACACTCCAAGGAGTTGCCAAGAAAACACATTACAAAGCCAGCTGAGAATCCAAATTTTCAACCCTGGATGGTCATGCACAATTCTATGAAAACCCAACATGGCCACCGCTTGCGTGCTCACAGCAATCAACTTCATTTGAAAGGGAGAGAGGAAAAGCTTTATGGATGGACACAAAACCATGCTCTGCTGAATAATCACGGGGGTTGCTTTCAAACTCACCCGTGACGAAGACCCTCCCGTTCCCGTGGCTTATTTGCATACAAGCCAGTGAACAGAAATTTGTATTTTCATGCAGAAAGAAGAAAAAAGATGACCTACAAACTGAAGTCAACTTACTGCCTGTTTTTGCTCTTCTTCCTATAATGGTTGGCGAAAGATAAAGGTGAAGAAAGAAACAGGATAGATTAATTACCACGTTACAAGGGAACATACATACACATAATATACAACAGATCCAATGAAGGAGGAGAACGTGGCAAACTGTAGGAACATCTGCAGTCACAAACAGAAACAGTCAAGTTGGGTTAAGAGCTACATGGGAATGTAAAGGTGTAATCTGTCCCATTTTAAAAGATCACTTTTGTCCAAATGGCCATTGGTGTTTGGGAACATTGGAAACATGGAATGCAGATCACTGTGGGCTAGGACTCTCTTCCTGTCCTAGACTCAGAAATGACTCTCCAAATGTCCTCAAGACAACCTTGCTTTCAGACTGAAAAGTTTGCCAATGCCACTTGAGGTGTGCAATCAGTGCACTGCTTCTGGTTCCTTGCCATCACGAAGACTGAAAGTGTCATAACCTGAGAGGCAAAGTATCACCTTTCTGATCATGGAGTGAGCACTGGGCCTGTAGTGAGCTCTGCAGATTGGGTTTCAAAAGGGCAAATTTATGCGAGGTGGGCTCTTTGGGTTTTTGAACTAAAGCATACCTACAATGGGAGAAGAGAAACTGGGAGGCACTAGAATCAAAGATATAAAGTAGATACAAAGATGGAGAGAATGATATTGCTGTTGCAATTCAACTTTGATCAGTACAGAGCACGCTAATTTGAAAGACCAAAAATGGTGAAATATGGACGAATTTATGCTCTTTTGAATCAGAGCAATGCATGCTATGACCCTTCTGAGCCAGTGGGATCACTCTGCAACATCAACCATACAAGCATTTCTCGTGCCACTGTGCAAAATCATAGCAATCACTGAAATATCACAAGAGTTACTTTCTAAGTCAAATGCTTTCACACATTTTGTCCTTGCCTATATAAGAATGGGCTTCATAACAGTGGGTACACTGTGTTTGTTGCATGAGTTTGCTTCCACGGAGGAAGGCAGCAGCTGTGGTGGGGTAGCAACAGTGTGCATTAGAAGGAAAGGTTGGCAGTGGGTTTTTTTTTGTTTGTTTGTTTGTTCGTGCAGAATCAGCATTTCCAGCTTTTTTTGAAGATAACAGCATGCATTCTCCCCAGTGGTGGCTTTGCACAAAGTGCAGAGAGCAGCAGGACTGCTCCCCAGTGCATCTCTCCAGAAAGCAGTTCATGCAATTAAAATGAATGGAATACAAGTTGCTTCTGACCTTGAAAGGCTGGGATCCCTGTATCCCCCTTCTCTCATTTATGCCCTGACCACCCAGAGCCTGACCTCAAATTTAGATTGGGTTCTTCTCACCAACCACTACCCCAAAAGATAGTGATGTGTTCCTGAGGGCACTGCAGAGATGTCTGGTAATGTATAACCACATAATCCCTCATTTCTGAGTGGATACTTTTGTTTTTTCTCCCAAGGTTTGGGATTCAGGTGCATATTTAAGTACTGATGCATCAGAACTTGGTGCTCCTGGTGCCCTTCCCTTGCTCCCATGTTTCCAGTTGTTCCTTCTCCCAGCGCAAGGACTCACAGGACCAGATGGTGAGCCAGGACAGGGAAAAGATCTTAAACAACCTCTACTCTACAAAAAAAAAAAGTTGTTAGTTTGAAAAATGAGGCTTTAGTATTAACTGCAGATGTGGAAAAAAAACAAAAGCCACACAAAAAAACTTCTCAAGAAGTTGCAGTGCTCTGCAAGAAGAACCAAGCATTTGTAAGATAAATCATCAAATCAGCCAGTGAGGAAATTACCATTGAGGAAATAGAAAAAAGTGAAATGGGATCTGTCTGCTGAACATCCTCCTAGCTTAAGGCAAAAACCCTGCAAGAAGGCAGACAATCATCACCACTGACTGCTTATTACAAGAGTGCAGGCTAATGGCACTAGGTGATTACGTGAGACTTCAGGATAAAAATGGACAGCTAAGCCAATAGCCTGGATGAGGAAAAGAAGAGAAAAATGATTTGAACAGGGCAGCTGAGGGCACTGCGGGCAGATGAGAGGCAGGCAGGCTGCTGAAGAGTTGGACTCGATGATCCTTATGGGTCCCTTTCAATTTGGGGTAGAATCACAGAATCGCGGATTCACAGAATCACTGAGGTTAGAAAAGACCTCCAAGATCACAAAGTCCAATCCCAACCCATTCCCACCACGCTCACTGACCACGTCCCTCAGGGCCACATCCACCCTTTTCTTGAACACCTCCCTTGGCAGCTTGCTCCAATGCCCGAACGTTCTTTGGGATAAGAAATTTTTCCCAATACTCAACTTGGATACTCTATGATTCTATGAAACTGGTGCTGGTTGACATCTGGATGGAGCTTGGTGGTCATCTGGTGATGAGTGTCAATTTGAGGAACACAACCTTGCCCTAAGGAACCCACAGTGCGCTTCAAGATGCATTGGACAGTGCAGCAAAATACCACTGCCAGCATTTAGAGAAGAGCTGAGTGCAACCAGAGCATGTACTGGACAATCCTCCAATACATCCCCACCATGGTGGAATCAAGTCCTTCCGATGATGCCAAGTCACTGTCTGTTCTTCTGTAGGCAGAAGAACAAGGAAAGATGTGGAGCTCTGTGTGGAGATCAACCTGAAGCGCAGGCTGTAGCAGTGTGGGAAGATGGATTTCAGGTTGGATATTAGGAAACATTTCTTCTCCAAAAGAGCAGTGCTGCAGTGGCACAGCTGCACAGGGAGGTGGTGGGGTCACCAAACCTGGAGGTGTTCAATGTGAAGAATGTGGAGATGTGGCACTGAGAGATGTGGGCAGGGGGCATGGTGGGGTGGGTTAACAGCTGGCCCATTCTGAGCATTACATTGAGTCAATTTTCAGTGTATAGAGGTCATAAGTGGGGTGGGTTAACAGCTGGCCCATTCTGAGCATTACATTGAGTCAATTTTCAGTGTATAGAGGTCATAAGTGAGAATGAACAAAATGGCAGAGAGAAAAAAAAATCAGAAAAGGCGTAAAGGAATTCTGTGACAAATAATGCTGGAGAAATCATCAGGGCAGAGTGAAAACTCCCCCTTTTCATTGTAACTAACAGCACCCAGTGAAAACAGAGATGCCCAATATCAGTTAATCACCTTGTCTCCTCTATATTTAATGGAAAAAACCAGATGAACCCACAGAGAACAACAATGCCTTTCCTCCCTTCCCTTTTACAGAGGGAGCTGGGATACCAGACATTCAAATAACCAAAGTTAAGATCAATCCAACTCTAAATGGTGAACTGAAGGCAGCATTAAAAATGCAGAAAATACTGTATAAGAAAATGGAAAAAACATAAAAGCTTAACAGCTGATCTAAATTATAAATGAAAACTTTTAAGTGCGCCAAATGACAAGAGAAGATAAAACTTGAACTAAAAATTCATGTCTGACAGGGCTAAAACCACCAAAAAGGAGACTTTGAAATGAACACATACCAGAGGTGGTGTGCACTGCTTCTTGATAGCAAAGATGGCAACATTTTTAGTATAGGAGCAGGAATTACTGTTTCTTCTCTGTGTTTGAGTAACAGGAGGATAAAGTGCCTCCCCCTGGGAGTCAGAGAAATGCTTTCCACCGATACTGAGAAAAGGTGTTAAAGAGGATCTGCTGGTGTTTTTAGATCAACAAGGCTGTAATTACATGAGTGGTTACCTTGTCCAGCCAAGGTAATCTTCAACAGACTCCAGAATACCAAGGATTGGGATGCGCTGTAGTACTGATACTCAAAAAGGAAGACAAGACAACTCATTAAGTGCAAACATCTTGCCTCGTCATTAATTCACTGAGGTGCTGATACAAGGCTCGAGTCGTAAGCAACATATGAAGCTTCACATATGAAGAAAATAGACACTGCCCAGCAGTGTCACATGCAGAGCCCAAAACCCACGGAGAAGAATAGGAGGCAATAAGTGTCTTTCCCTTTCCTTGGCATCAAAAAAAAAACATATGAAGAAAATAGATCTTGCCAAATAAATCTGATTTTGTTGTTTGGATCGTGTTACAAGTTTGACTTCTAAAGGAGCTGCACAGATGCAATGTATCTGACTATGAGGGAACTTACTGGTGACACCCCATTAACCAGGTAGCACTGCTCACAACAAACAAGGCACATCAAGTGCAGCGAGAATGGGACAACTACAGATTTCAGAGAAAAGACTGAAAAGGGCCACCGGTGACATATCTGCAAAGGGAAAAACCAGGGACACCAAGAACTCCTTCATTTAATGGAGGGAGAACCCTATGGAATAATGGAATCATTAGGGTTGGAAAAGACCTCTAAGATCATCAAGTCCCACCGTAACGCAACACGTAAAACCAAGTAATGACAAAATGGCCACGGGCTCTTGGGATAACTCAGGTTGGAGGGGACCTCAGGAGGTCTCCGGTCCAATCTCCTCCCAGGACAGAATCAACTTCATCCCAGGCAGGTTGCTCAGGGCCCTGTCCAGTTGGGTTTCAGAAACCTCCAAGCATGGAGCTGGCACAGCCCCTCAGGGTTCCCCAACATCCTCCTGGGGAAGCTCTTCCTCATCCCTGTCCCATTTCTCCCATTGCATACTGTATCTCTTAGATCAAAAACACTTTGAGTGAGGACAGTGTTTTCCCATTTGTTTTATAGAATGAGACCCGTGTCCAGTTTGAAGAATGCAAAGAAGAAACGCACAACAATATTTCAGAGTCTGGTGATGAACTGTGAGCTTAGCTCTGGCAGTAGGCTCTGAAAAGAATAATCAGAAATCCAAAGAATAACGTATGCTATAGATTAGAACACCACCGAGTGATGAAACAGAGAGACCCAACCAACACTGGGTTGGTGCACTACTGCTTTGTGAAACACACTGCCATGCTTTGCCAAGAGGAGCTGCTATACAGCTGCTCTGTATATAATGTATTTTCCAATTACGCTCAGGAGAATGGAAACGTCACCCACAACACCGTGCAGATTGTTACCAAATCTAACACTTCTCCAAAGCCTTCCAATGCTCTTGGCATTTTAACCCCAAAAGCAGCATATGAATCTGAAATATCACTGACCATCTGCACCCATGTGCGGAGCCCACAACGAAACGACTTTTTGCAAACTCCTTCTATTCCTGATAAAGGTTTTATAAAGGTAAGACAGCAGTGCAGGAGTGTCAGAACAGGGAACTCCAGACTGTGCAGAGGACGCACTGCATTTCCGACTCCCAGTGCCTTACTTTGAGTAGCTTCATCAGCCCTTCGAGCTGCACCATCAGTTCCCTTCTGCTTTCCTGAAGCGCAGACATCCTCTGTTCCAGCTCATCCTTTCTCTGCCTGTTCAGGTGACGGGAGAGAATTCAGGAAAGAAACTGAGTATTTAGAAATTCAGGAAATTCACAGATAAAATCTCTTCTTTTTGTCACTCCCTCCTGCTTTCAGTTCATAAAAATACAGCAAAACACCGTACAACGGCCACAAATCCTATCCATAACAGTCTCTCCACTTATACTCTACAAATCTACAGTTAGCATCTTGGTTGTAGGAAGCCTTTTTATTTATTTTGTGTTTGCACATTTGGATTTTGTGTTGAGGGACATGGTTTAGTGAGTACTATTGGTGATAGGTGGATGGTTGGACTGGACGATCTTGAAGGTCTTTTCCAACCTTGGTGATTCTGTGATATTTTTTTCTTTTCAGAGGGCTGTATTTTGAGAAAAAAAGCCAACTTCCTTTTCAGAACACTCCTCACATCAGAGCCAGGCGTCCTGCAGAGCCTTCAGAATGAGCTATGGGAGGAAAGAAAGAAAGGAAAAGAGCAGAGAAGAGCAGAAAAGGCTGCAGATGTTTGGATCTATCACCTCTCTGGATGGAGGCTCGGCAGAGCTATTTCTGCCCAGCAGTGTCACATGCAGAGCCCAAAACCCACGGAGAAGAATAGGAGGCAATAAGTGTCTTTCCCTTTCCTTGGCATCAAAAAACCGCTGCACTTCTGCAGATGCCTATCTGGGGGAGATGTAAGGAAACGTGGCCATATGGTTCTGCTTTATACATAAAAAAATAGGGGCTAATATAAAGGGAAATTCAAAGACAAACTGTCAACACGTGTCAGAAGTTCATTCTCTGATACGATTTAAGAAATGCCGGACCCCACAAATCACAGCCATAGGTATTAATAAATAACAGTAAGGAAAAACAGATGGGCACGGCTTCTCCGTTCACTCACAGTTATTTTTGTGAGTACCATAACGTCTCACTCCAGAGTTAAAGGCACCACGTACTGCAGACCGAATGTTTGGATGGTGTCTGCGTTCTTCCACACTGTGCAATGGATACAGCACTCTGGGAATTCCAATAAACCAATCAGACATCAGAATCTGGAACTCAGACTGCATCAATCCAGTGAGTGCAGCAAGCTTTTGTTATGGTGGCTGTGTCATACAGCAAGCACTCACCCCAGCCAGAAAACTGTTCAGGTCACTTTATAGAATTCTTTCTGTACTGGTTCTTAAAAATACAGAAAACTATGAAGTATTTGCTATTTTAGGCATTTTGAAGATGTGTATTTTGGAGAACGTGGTTACTAAATGCCCACACCTGTCACAAAAAGAAGGCAATAAGGAGATGGCAGAATACCCCAAGTTGGAGGGGCCCCATAAGGATCATTGAGTCCAACTGTGCTGTGATGGTACATGCATCGTCACCTGGAATATGAGCCCCTGATGGAGCTGTGGGTGTCCCTGTTCTCTGCAGGAGAGTGGGTGCAAAGGGCCTTTAAAGGTCCTTTCCAACTCAAGCCATTCTATGACTCCACAAATACTGTAAAAATCAACATATTGAATATGTACGGCTCTCTCAATGCAGCTGTTAATTAAGAATCAACACCCATGTGTCCATCTGACTTCAGCTGACATTATCTGTTTTCTTTTTCGATGGCTTTTGCTGAAGAAAGAAGAGGAACTGCTTATCAATGACAAAAGACGTTCAGTGATATAAAACAAAAATGACAGCCCTCAGAGACATAAATGGAGAGATGCAGTCTGAGGCTCATGCCTGGAACAAACTGGTCATGGCACCTGTGTATAAATCAGCATCCTGAGCATTCGTAAGCAGAAGAAACAAAGAACATCAGGGCACTCATCCAAGGTTACATTTGCCAACAATGTGGTAGAGCTGACTCATGCCTACGGGCTGTGCTGTCTGCAGATTCTTCAACCTGGGACAAGCTGATTTTCCACAGATTAACGTTTTTGTGCTTTTGTAGCCTAAATTCTACACAGCAATTGAGATAATTTGGTAACGCGTGCTTCGATGAAATCAGGGGCAAAGTCAGCCCAGAAAAGGAGACATAAGGTTTGGAAACAGCACCGGGCATGGGAAGGTCAGAAATAACACACAGACTTTTAGTCCTCTGAGCACAGACAGAGCACAGACACCAACTAGAAATCACATTAAGGTATCAAGGGAAATAGTATCTCCTTCATCTCTAAAAGGGTAAATATGGGCACAGAAGGACATGGGCAGTGGGCATGGTGGGAAGGGTTGGGGTTGGACTTGGTGATCTTAGAGGTTTTTTCCCACATTAATGATTCCATTATTCTAAAATAAAAACTTGAGTGTCTGACACGGATGCTTCAGCCATCAGGGAGGGCCTGGCAGGAGCACAACAGGGAAAAAATTCTTAAACCATGTGATGCAGAAGGCCAGACTGAAAATCAGGATGGCTCTTGGCCGTTTGTGTATGCATTTTTCTGTGCAGTCACCCTTCTGTCCTTTAGTGTATCTCCTACGCGACGATTGCGTTCATGAATTTGAAAGCCAGAAGTGGCTGCAATGACCATTCAGGTTTTTCTGCTAACAAAACACAACTCAAATTCCTCCCAGTTAGCTTTATTTTTGAAGAACACCTACAGAAAAACTCACTGCTCTTGTGATTATTGCCTCACTTCAGAAAACACGTGCTTTTATTGTGGTCTGAATGTGCCTTGTTTCTTGTTTAAGCTCTTGGTTCTTATTGCATCTTTCTCTGCTGGAGCAAACACACACCAAGCTGCCTCACAGTATCCCTTTCTGCAGCTCTTGCTTAATGTCTGTTGACATCTTCTGCATCCTCTCCAGTTCTTAAACATTTAAAAAATATGTACATACCTACATGAAGCACATGAAGCTGAAAAATATCTGTGCTGCTGTCATTAGGTAAGAGAATGAAAACATCAGCAAGATGTGAGATATCAGCAAGATATGAGATGTGAAAAGTACTAAAATATAGCAGGATCTGTATGAAAAACTAAGAAAAGAAGCTGAAATATTTATGTTTGCCAGCAAAGGACTTGAGTATACCATGCAGAAACTGTCTTGCAGGCTCCATGCCAAAAGCGTTACACTTTATGGAAAACCTACAATTGTGCCACTTCATAAATGGACAGAAAAAAAAACCCCAAAAAACAGCAAATAGAATACAGCGTAGTTTTCAAAGAGCTGTTGCTGCCAAGAGCTTGGATTTTAGAACCTACTTTAGATTACGAACACAATTTTTGAAGGTTCGGCTCTGAATTAACTTGTAGCAGAAGATGAAATAAAATACAGCTAGAGAACACCCTTGTGACTACCCAAACTATGAAACACTTTATTCTATAAATACCGTCAATTTCTCCCTGTCACTTAAAAATGTGAACTTAAAGAAGCTTAGAAGATTGTTCACCAACTGTGGGTGTATGTCTGAATATTTGTAGGCAGGAACTTTCAGAGTTTCACTGATTAATCTCGCATTCATCTTCAACTCGACCCTTTTGAGCAGCACATAATAAGCTGTTAATACCATTTTTCTTCTCAGTTATTCTTCTTTGTAAACAGTTTTCTGAACTGTACAAAGAGAACCTGTGTTCAGAGACATTTCCATTTCCTTATAAATCCATTTCTAAAAGGGAAAATCGCAATACGCTGTCACTCGTTGGAACTCAGCAGCTCAATGCAAAGCTTTGAGGTTACTAAAATCATGCTGATATTATGGAATCACAGAATCAGAGAATCAGAGAATCACAGAATCACCAAGGTTGGAAAAGACCTAAAAGATCACCCAGTCCCACCGTTCACCTATTCCCAATAGCTCCCACTAAACCATGTCCCTCAACACAACATCCAGCCCTTCCTTGAACACCCCCAGGCTCGGTGACTCCACCACCTCCCTGGGCATCCATTCCAGTGCCTGACCACCCTTTCTGAAAAGTAATACTTCCTCATGTCCAGCCTGAATCTCCCCTGCCGTAGCTTGAAATCATTCAGGTCGGTCAAAGACCTCCAAGATCCCCAAGCCCAACCCACCCCCACGCTGCCCACTGCCCACGTCCCTCAGTGCCACATCCCCACATCTCTTGAATGCTTGTGCTGACGATGACTCCGCCACCCGCCTTCTGACGCCCTGATACGAGTCAGCAATCTGTGCCACCACCTGTGCCACAGAGCAGACCAGTCAGCCAAGTGCACACCACCTTGCAGCCATTTCTATTACCGCAGGAGCCGAAGCTCAGCCAGTAGCGTTGGGTTCTGCTGGGCTTTCTCTGGCGTGGGCTGTGAGGCTTGCTCGTGCTCCAGTCTCAGACGCTGGATTTCCTGCAGTATCTCTCTAGACAAATGAAAAGGGAAGATTACAGGGGAAGAGTGACCCTCTACACAGCTCTTAAAACACTGCTATAGCCCTTCAAGCACTCTTGCCATCACTCTTCAGTCTAAGCACAGCAATTTTGTTCGTGTATGACTGGCACAGATCTGAATCCAGGACAGGTACATTAGAACAGTCTTATGAATTGCTGTAATGCATATTGAAAATTTACTACTTAAGTTATAAGAAGTAGGAAATTGCTTGTGTGCTGTACGCTGGCAATGACTCTTCAAAACCCTTCAAGTTGAATGGCTGTAAGAGGCAGCCAAGCTGCTCTCCTTACACAGCACCTTAACATCACTGATTGAGATCTCCCTTATCAGGGATCTTGGTGAATAATTTCAAATACCTGCAGGCTCTCTTGAAAGTACAGCATTTGCTTTTTACCAACCCTCCGGGACCAGGACTCCTCTAAATGAACCCTTTTACATTCACTGGCAGCTCCCAAGACCGTGGACAGGGTCGTCTGATCACAGCTATGAGGCCAACATGGCACTGGGACCCAACACAGTCTGCAGCTGCTGAGCAGCTTGCTTTTTAGAACAGTACCCTTTTGGTTTCTCTCAGGCAGAGAAACATGAACCCAAAATAGGGGTGTTGAAGAAGCAAGGAAGAGCAAATGCAGTATTACAGTAAAAATAGGGTTATCTCTTCTTAATGATCCCTCTGGAACAAGAGGAGGAAACCACCTACGGCCCATCTCCTTTTTTTCCAGGCTTCCTAATTTTCTCAGATCATGGAGTCATTCAGGTTGGAAAAGACCTCTCAGATCCACAAGTCCAACTCCAAGCCACCCCACCATGCCCACTGCCCACATCCCTCAGTGCCACATGTCCGCATCTCAAACACAGGGATGGTGACTACACCACTTCCCTGGGCAGCCTGTCCTGGATTCTCCTGTCTTCCAGGGAAAACAAAATACATAAAACAAATCCTCATTCCTCTCAAGTTATATGCATCCACGCTACCTGCTCCACCACTGGAGCATAACCTGGTTGGTTATCCTGCTGCCACATCAAGTTATCCAGCCATGGGGTTTGCTGGGCTGGAGTGCAGCAATACAGAGCTTCTGGTAATCAGTACTGATGAGTTTAAGGGGATTATTTAAGATCAGTTCAGAAGAACAACTTGCTTCCCAGGGAATAAAGGCACTGCAGCTGCATCAGCATTGAGCTCACTGGTTAATGAGGCAGCTGCGCCTTCCAACAAAAGATGTAGGAAAACAATCTGGTTGATAAAATACAAAAGGTTAAACACTACAAAGCAAAAACCCAAATGCTGTTTCTAAAACACCACCAATCAAAGCTTGGTTTTTACCTGTTTTTGTTTTCCAGCTCTGCTATCAGCTGCCTTTGCTGTTTGTTGGCATCGAAGTTGAAACCCAGGTCTGTGGGTGGGCGAGGCTGGTGGATGGAGAACAAAGGCAAATCAGCCACAGCACTCGTTACCTGCTAACCACATATGACACTGTTTGGATCCAGTCCCATATTTTCTGACTGACACAGTGCAATACCAACAGCCCTGATGCAAAACTATGCTGGGAAGGAACATTTGACCATGGTGCTTTTGGTGCTTTCCTTAGGTTCCACTTCTCCCCTTCTTTCAATTCATCATCTCAGAGGTGATACTGCGGTTAAATTAAGTCTTTCAGCGCCTTTATCTTTAGTGAATTCTCTAGCTTCACTGTCTCTGTATGCTCAGCACACTTTTCACCAGCAGCTATCACCACCACTGAGAAAAGTACTGGGCATTTAAAGAGGAATCTGTGGTTTCTGGGAGAACCTACTGGCAGATGGCTGTGAGATGAAGAAGCCAGATGCTCTGAATCCCAGAATCATTCAAGTTGGAAAAGATCTCTGAGAACACCAAATTCAACCCTAACCCATCCCCACCATGCCCACTGACCCCTGCCCCTCAGTGCCACATCCCTATGGTTCTTGAACACCTGCTTAGGTGGTCTCATATGACTCAAAGCTGTCCTGGTCATCACACACAAAAGATTCTCACTGGGAGAACTTGGAGATGGCTTCCATGACTGTAAATACACAGCAGATGGACGGAAGAGATGGGTATCAACCTCTGCTCCTGGGGAATGAATGGGAGGAGAGTGATTGAACCAGGACAAAAGGGAGAGACGCTCCTCAAACAGTTTCAAAGCTGATGCCCATGGTCTCTTCATCTCCTCCTGCCATCAAGACAAGCATAGGTCTGCTCCTTTTGCAGCCTCTTGGCCTTCCCCTGAAGCACTTGGCTCTGCTGCAAACTAGGAGGCTGCCTATAATCAAACAATTCCATCCTCAACCTCTTTCTTCAGGAATCCTGTACGAAGCTTGAAATCATCTTCATGACCTGAAGTGCTCAAGTCCTCAGGAGAAAAGTCAGCACTGCAGAGGAACTAAGCCCATGCTGCTCACTTCATCATCGGATGTTGAAAAGTCATTTGGAAACCTCACAGTGGATATTTTGCTTTCTTGTTTTCCTCAATGCTTTCCTAGGGTCAATTCAAAGTTTAAAGGTAACTCTAAAGTGCAGAGCTGTTGAGATTCAAAAGGACCTTCTGAGAGGGAATCATAGATTCATAGAATTGTTAAAGTTGGAAGGGAACTCTAAGATCATCAAACCCAACCCTTAACTTGTTACCATTCCCACTAAATCTAAGTATCCCACTCGCTAGTTTTATGTTTTTATTGCTGAGACAGTTAATGTAGAGTTTGTAAGAATAAATCATGTTAAAGTTACTTTCCTTACACCGTGACAATCAAATCCTATCTATAGGAGAGAAACCATTAACATCCTGCACTCTCACTTCAATGCTGCTGACATTCTCTTTACTCTTGAATTCCATACAGCGGTTGCTTCAGATCTGCAGACTGTACCTCACTGTGACAAGCAGACAGTACTCTTGAGGACAAGACTAAAATACCAAATTATGTGAGAAATTCTAGAAATGGTTGGAAAAAAACAGGCTGCATTCTATTAAGTAGAGAGCAACTGAGCAACTGCTCGTATTTACTTTAATCATGTCAACTGCATTGACACCTGAAGGCAGCAGTTTTGCAAAAAAAGGACCTGCAAATACGAGTGGTTTGCAAACCAGACAGAGTCAGTAATGTCACATTTTTGCAGAGCCACAGAGTCCTGAGAGAATTGGCTGATGTAGTCACCAAGCCACTCTCAACAATATCTGAAAAGTCACAGCAGTCGGGTAAAGCCCCTGGTGACTGGAGAAAAGGCAACGTCACATCCATGTCTAAGACAGGTAGAAAGGGTGATGCAGGGAACTACTGAACTGCCAGCCTCACCTCTGTGCTAGGCCAGATAATGGAGCAGATGCTTCTGGAGCTGTGCTAAGGCACATGGAAGACAGGGAGTTGCTACAGGAGAATCAGCATGCCTTCACCGAGGGAAAGTCCTGGTTGACCAACCTATAGTGGCCTCTTATGATGGTGTCACTGCGCCAGTGGAAAAGGAAAGAGCTGCTGACATCATCTGTCTGGACTTCAGTGAGACCTTCGACACGGTACCCCACAGCATCCTACTCTCCAAATTAGGAAGATGTGGATTTGATGGGTAGACTGTTCAATGGATGAGGAACTGGCTGTGAGATCGTTCCCAGAGAACAGCATTCAACGGCTCCATGCCCAGATAGAGATGAGTGATGAGTGGTGCCCCTCGGGGGTCAGTACTGGGACTGGTGCTCTTTGATGTCCTCATCAATGACATCAACAGTGGGATTTTGTGCATCCTCAGCAGTTTACGGATGACACCAAGCTGTGGGGTGCAGCTGACAAACCCAAGGGACAGGATGCTATACAGAGAGACCTACACAGGCTGAACAGTTTGCCCAGGAAGACCTCATGAGGTTCAACAAAACCAAATACAAGGTCTGCGCTGGTCATGACAACCCCCACTATCACTACTTTTGGGGGGCAAAAGGATTAAGCACAGCACTGGATCGGGTTGCTCAGAGATGTGGCAGATGCCCCACCATCAGAGACAATCGAAGACAATATGCAAGGTCTGAAAGACAGAAGAGAATAAACGAATAAGAGGAGACAACATAAAAAATCTGAAATACACAATGCTTACTGCCAAGAGAAAGCCATATATTATTCTTGATGTCCCCTGAGGCAAGAGAATGCAAACCAAGCAAGGAATAATTAAGTTAGGATTCAGGAAAATCGTTTTATCAGTAGATGAATTTTACAGATTGGCACAAATTGCCTCAATGTTCTCTATCTGGAATGGACTTCAATGCGTTGTGGTTTTTTTTTTAAGTTACATGGCTAAATGTCTGCCCAGAGCTGAACTGACCTACAGATGGAGCATACCTGTTACTCCAAAACAGAGCGGCGCTGTAAACAGGAATGCCTCAGAACATTTTTTCCCTAAAAATAAGTCAATCTTCCTCTGCAACCCTCTCAGATATCCTATCACTCATCCTTCTATCGAATCTAAAGAGATAAGACTATTTTCTCTATTTTCAGGCTTGTGAACTTGATGGATGCAGTTTGAATAAACAGCTTCCTATCCCTCCTGTTTTGATTCATTTCTAACTTTATCCTTTCAAGCCAGAAAATCCTGACTCCCAGACACTTTTCTGCTCCCATCACTTCTCAGGCTCTTTGATGAGGCTTTCTCTTCACCTTTCCTTTTTTCTCCTTTATCATTCTTGTTACCGCTCCTCTTTCAAATTGATTTATAAACCTCCAAAAACCTGTGCAGCAAACCATATTACTTCACAGAAACTGAAGAAATCCCTGACTATCACAACATCATTAACCAGGAACTAATTAAAGCCATGATCTTTGATTTATTTTTCCCCATTTCTTTCTATGGTGGGAAGTAGCATTTGTGTTCAGGTTGCATTTCTGGGTCACTTTTCCAGCAGTAGCTCAAGAATTGAAAATATCTGAAATGAAAATGTCTTATCAGTTACTCTGCTTGCAGGATGAGTAGTCTGAATCTTTCCTTGAGTCATTCCTTCCTTGAGTCATCATTGATCAATAATCCTCCAAATTGTCTTACAACCTACTCGAGACTTGCAACTATCTCCTCTGTAACAGGCAAGCATCCTGCTGCTGCAGCCCGTAAAGAAAAATACAGTGTCATAAGGAAGGGAGTGAACAGCTTAATGAAGCTTGGCTCAACTTCTGCAGCAATCCCAGGATGCTGACACTCTTCTGAAAGCAGCAGACAGCACAGGGAGAGAAAGCTTTCTAATTAGTAGGAGATCATTTGAAAGTATGAGATATCATAGAATCACAAAATCTGTAAGGTTGGAAAAGGTTTGATCTGTAGGATCACCAAGTCCAACCTTCAAGCTATCCCCAGCATGCCCACCCACTCGCAGTATCATGGAATCACCAAGGTTGGAAAAGACCTCCAAGATCATCAAGACCAATTGCTGACCCGCACCACCATGGCCACCCCCATCCAAAGGTGCAGATACCCGTTTGGATTTCATTCTGGACAGCTTTCTCCAGTGAGTGAATTTCTACAGAGCACAGGAAAGGAAACTTGTCCTTTGTGGCTTTCCTTGTCGGTGAGGAGTGAAAATCCCACAAAGATGATAACCCCAACTATTAGGGCATAGAAGCCCCGTTGGACATGGCTCACCACTTCTGAACACAGGATGCGAAGGCAACAATACAGCATGGCAGATCCATGCAGAAACAATCTGCAGAGTTCCTTCAGAGTAAGAGGACTCAGAAGTACGGTGGGGCTTGAAAAGTAAAAAGTCTTTTGATACACTGAATCATAACACAGGTCTCCTGTTTCATACCAAACAGTGGCAAGACCAAAGCCAAAGCTTTTCAAGCTGAAGACTGCTATTTTTAAAAGGAAAATGTTCAACAAAAAAAAGTTTCAAAGCTATGCAAACTCTCTAATGTGGCTGGAAGTACAATTGCCATTATTTTCTGCTTTTCTGGTGCTCAGTATGAATGCTGAAACCTTGAAAGTTCTGAGATCACCCAAATGGTAAGCTCTATCCTCTCCCAGAAATGAAATCTATAAGAAGATGGATATAAAATCTACTCCGAATCCTTCATATCACGTACAGGAACAGTGAAACCTCCCAGTACTGCGCTTCAGTTTTTCTATGGCAGGGCATTAAGCTTGAGAGATGCCACGCCAGATCTCTAAGCTGGACTGGGATTCACCATAAGGAACTACAGTATACTTTTTTGGGTGTAAGCAGAGGATTTAATTACACTTTTTAATCAAGTTCCAAAAAAAGGCAGTTTGGTGAGCAGTTGCACTCCTCCATCAGCTGGATGTGGAAGAACCTGTCAAAACCCACGAAAGCTTCCCGTGGGCATCAGCTTCCCGTTTCCCTGCTGTAAAGACTGCACTGTTTGATGGAACACTGGAGCAGTATTTCAGCTCTTCACCACTGCAGTCTCACAGTGTTTTTTATAATCAAGGCAGAGAAGAAGAAACAACAAAAAAATTGTTCATGTGATTCCTGTGCGCAGAAGATCCAAGAATGAAGCTGCAGATCTAACCTGAAAAGATGTGTGACAGCAAATCTGATTTACTTGCTCGTTACTTATTTAAAAAAACATGTACGAAATATTACCTAATGCCTGAAAAAAGAAGAATTAGTTAAGGAGAATATTACAAACGTTATTTAGGTTGTAGGTACAGGAGCTTTAATGAGATGAGATGATGACAGGCTTTCAGCAGCGCTTAATGTTGAGAGAAGAAGGCAACCACACACTGTTTTCAAAAAAGAGCAGCGTGGGCAAGAACCTAATTATTGCTAACTCATCCACATAACTCAACCTAGTTAGCCACTCATCCATAATTGAGTATTTTCTCCTACTTATTAGGAGCTCGTGCTTTTCTCTGTAGCGAGGTCAGCAGAGCCCTGCCAGGAGCATGCTGGTGATCCCCAAGAAGCATCGAGCCCAACTGTGTCCTCATACAGCGCCATCCAAACCCAAACTCTATGTCTAAGAGTGAAGTCCCAATGCTCCCTGAGCTCCGGCAGCACGGGGCCGTGCCCACTGTCCTGGCAGCTGTTCCATGTCCACCATCCTCTGGGAAAAAGTCTTTCCCCAACTCCCTCTTGACCTTGGAAGATTTATGTGAAGTTTGTTGTTCTTCCTGTTGATTTCTTCACTTTATTCCCCTTGTCACCTTCTGCCTTTCTCCCTTTTGCTTTCCACCTTCTCAGTCTACCTCTAACGCACAGCGCTCTGCTTGACTGAACTGGAAAGCCCAAGTGTAGCCTTGAGCAACTTGAACTCAGTAAAAAGGAATCTGTCCTCTGAAGACTGGCTTGAAGAAAACAAGAGCAACCCAGTCAAAGCTTCTTCTGAGTGAACACAGACTGGACTGATGCCTACCGGGGTGTAATTGCACTGGTTGCGTGCCATGAGCCTCCGCTGCACTAGTAAGTAAATTACATGTATCGGGTGACAGATGATGCATTCTCCTTTATTCTCCTCTCTGCCCATTCATTTTTCTTCTCTAAGAAGAAACAGACTTGGATTTCAAGAATTAACTCTGAGATCCGCCTCAAATTATTTTGGCCCAGTAAGACTTCAAGCAAAAACGGTTCCCCTAAAAAACATTAATGGAATGTATTTGTATTCATATTACAAGTGACATTTATTATAGTAACTAGCCTGCAGAAGGCAGCTTTAACATTTTATCTAATTTGAGAAAAAGCAGAAGCTGATGGACTGGGTCAGATCCATCACCACGTTGTCCACTGTACAATTTCCAGAAGCGATCACTGTCAGCCACTTCAAAGAGGAGAATAAGCAACCGTGCCTCAGGCTGTTGCAGCATGAACAGCCTCTGCATCTGGAGCCCTCTTAATTTCCAGCAGCCAATGCGAAAAAATAAGGAGTATTATGTCAGAGAAGTAGGGCTGGAGAGGACATCAAGGAATACTTTTGTTCACATCAGCGTATCGCCAGTATTTCCAGCAGAACCAAGACTGGTCCGTCTTGACGGCACTTTGGTCCCACTCCCTACTTTCATTAAGATTCACATTCACACAGAAATTCAGGCGAGGAAGGATCTCCGAAGGTTTCTAGTCCAATTCATGGCATGTTGCTGTAGACCTCTTCCAGATGAGCTCTAAGAATCTCCAAGGATAAGATTCCACTTCTCCAATGCACAGCCTCTTCCAGGATCTGACCATCATTGTGGTGAAATGCTTTTCTTAAATACATCATTAGAATTTCCTTCTAGCAACTTCTGCCTCTTGCTTTTTGTCATGACCAATGATCATGTTTCTTTCACTGGATCACTGAATGGGTGCTGGATTGGTGCTGTCCTCTGACTACCCTGGCGCAGTTATCTGCTATAGAGAACATTTTACATTCAGCAGTAAAGACTGACACAAACAACTCTTTGCTTTGGTCTTACCATCCCTGACTACTCTGAAATATCTTGATCTTCAAAGAGCCCTGCTGACTGGTTAGTATCCAACCTTTGATGGTACTGAAAATCTTTTTGCTATGGATTTCAGACACCTTTGGATTGTGCTCTTCCAGTTCCCCTCCTGTCTCTGATAAGTTTCTGGTTAACATTTAACCAGCCACGTTTATGGGCTTCTTGTTCTTTTCATCTGGGCAAGTTCTCCATTTCCTGAATGCCAACCTTAGGACATCCCCCTAGCTTTCTTATTAACCCAGAAAAAGAACTGCTTATACGGTTCTGTTTTCTTTTTGCTGCTTCTCTGGGCTTCTACTAGAGCATTCTGAATGGCTTTCACACATCTGATAGGTTTCCTGTTTTTCAGACTGCTCATTTCAGGGTTTTATTCTGATTGTTTCATTTTTACATAGCTCTCCTTGTTGAAACTGAGCATCTGCATCCTGGATTTACTTGGTGAGCTCCCTCCTGCTGCTAAACCCACACGTGTGATGGTTGCTCCTACTGACCAGCGGACGCTGCCAACACCACATGAGCTCATCCTGGTGCACCACTCAGCAACAAATCCCAGAGAGATTCTTTTTGTAGACTATAAAACAAGTTGTTCACGGAAATGCCATTTATTGCACCCAAATGAGCTTTTGCCTTTCCCTCTGAAAAGGCTCTGATTTAGCCTCTATGTGGGTAGCTGAAACCTCCCACTGTTACTTACCTGTCCTACATTATTATAATGTAATCAGGGGTCAGAACTTCTTTTTTGTCACTAAGAATCTGCAGTTTCAGCTCACAAGGATTCTGCAGCTCTTCTCTTTTTCTGTGATACTTTTGAGCTGTCACACTGCTTCTTTCCCCTGCGTATAACATCAGTCCCTTGCCTGCGTGTCCTACTGGATCATGCCTGTAAAGCTGGCAGCTGTAAAATCAATGAATGGCTGTCGGACTGGGGTTGTCGTTATTTCCCAGCCTCTTAGTTGCTCCCATCTCTTTTCTTTGATGTTATAAAAAGAATCTTAAAAGAAAAGAGTGCGGATGGAAAATCTCAGCCATTCCATGTCCCACACCATGAACCTTCCCCAGGATGCTCCTCCAGGGAGATCTCCCTTTGCCAAGAAATGATCAGAAGCTGCCATGATGCAGAGAGCATTTGAAAGAAGACCTAAAAATCTGATTTCTTCAAGTAATTCAAAGTATGTCCCTTCTGGCTGTTTAGTAGTTTTTGGCTGTGAACAAAACACTGGACTCAGTAAAGAACGTTAAGTTCCTTGCTATTAAGCTCTGGGCACAAAGGAAACACCATACAATTATTCTTACATTCTTCTTTCACCTCCAGACTTCAGTCCCCAGCAGTGCTTTGTCATCACTCTACTAGATAACGTAGGGAATGACAGAATGGATTGATGGAATGATGGAAAGAAGGAGCAGTTTTTCAAAGGACTTTGAAAAGTCTCCATAAGCTCTAAATGTTGTTTCCTTTACATCCAAAGAAGCCGCCTCATTTTTGATCTACGAAGTACACACAAACAGGTTGAGGTGATCTACAAATTTTTAAATGGTTGTGATCTTTCAGACCCATATTGCCACACTTTTCATTAGTATGACCAAAAAAAAAAAGTAAGAATTCTTCCACCATTGGCCAGAGTGAGAGCAATTCATCACAAATTTCCAGCAATACGTAATGAAATGATGAAGAAGATACTGACTTAGCATACTTATAAACATACAAATGCTTCCCTTCCTTTCTTTCAGGCTCTTTCTCTATGCATAAACATGACATTTGCTCCACAATTTCTTTTCCTTGGGTACCTGCATACTTCTTCCTTCTGCAGACAGGGAGGACTGTCTTGTGCACTCTCTCATCTCCCTTGACCTGTCTCGTGGTGGTCAACCAGGTCAACCATAAGGTCCACCACTGATCAGCCATGGTCAACTGCTGGTCAACTCTTGGTCAACCAGGACCCCGAGGTCCTTTTCTGCAGAGCTCCTCTTCAGCAGCTCAGCCCCTAACCTGTACTGATGCATGTGGTTATTCCTCCCCAGGTGCAGGACTTGACCCTTGCCCTTGTTGAACCTCATCAAGCTCCTCTCTGCCCAACTCTCAGCCTGTTTATCTCTCACTGGATGGCAGCACAGCCTTCTGGTGTGTCAGCCACTCCTCCCAGCTTTGAATCATTAGCAAACTCACTAAGGGTACATTCCACCCCTTCATTCAGTTCACTGATGAAGACTTTGAACAAGCTACTAATTAAGCTCTGACAAACACCTCCTGCACTGCACACCAAGCAAAACAGAGAACACAGAGAGTGGTGCTGGCGCGTTTACTCACCGTGTTGCTGGCCTCAGCGGCCAGCCTGGCTGCGTAGCGGGCGATCAGGCGGTGCTCCTCGTCCAGCCGGCCTGGGCTGTCCAGCACACTGTGGGGACAAGGACAATTATCAGCCCTGTGGGGACAGGCCACGGCTGAGATGTGCTTGCAGCAAAGAGAGAAGCGATGTGAACAGCCTATAGCATGCTCTTTCTCATCACTCTTCCAAGTGGGGGCTGCTCTGAGACTCTGCACCTCACAGCATTTCCTCCATGATTCGTACACTCCGATTTTCAGTGATAAAAATAATTAATCTTTACTAATTAATAAAATAATCATAATCATAGAATCATGTAATTGTTAAAGTTGGAAAAGATCTCTGAGATCAAGTCCAACCATCAATGCATCACCATCATGCCCACTAAACCACGTCCCTAAAGAGAATCACAGAATTGTTAGGCTTGGAGAAGACCTCTAAGGTCATCATGTCCAGAGGGAAGCTCCTGGCCTCAGGACAGCCAGTCACCAAACAACGGCAACTGAATGCCAGCACCATGATCAGACTTACACCCAGCCATGCCGGATGCAGCCGTGCAAGATGTGGTCCTCACACCTTGGACAGCATCAGGATGAACAACTCAGCAGCTGCTCGCTGCCTTACTGCTGCACAAAGGTTTTCAGCACGGTCTCCCTTTAACAGGGAGCCAGCCAATTAGTTATGTAAACCAAAACACGGTGAGCTGAAAACCAGCATTAGCATGGAAATGAGCAACGTGTTTCATGCTGCACAGCCTTCCCAAAGCTGCACCGGGTGTTTGATGTGGGATTCACCAACACCTCGTGGGCAGCCGTAAATAACGTGCAGCCCTACCTGGGTGCGTTTGTAACCACACAGCAGAAAACAGAGCACATAGATACATATCTAATGCACAACAACAGCTCCTTTCAGTCCCCATTTACTGCTTTATGAAATAATTTACATTTGTTTTAAGCTCAATTTCACAGATTTATGTTGATGTTTAAAGAACCACATCTACATTGTATAAATCACATTTATATAAAAACACAGATTTATTTTTATAATGCCAAATTGAACAAATTGAACTCTTCTGAGACTCGGAGTCTCAGAATTAAGGGAAGGAAAACAGAGCCTCCACTCCAGGCTTGACAATCTCCTTATAGGTCCTCACACTCATTTTCTGATTTTTTTTTTGATTAAAGAAGAACAATTCTTCCCATTCCACTTTCTGAATTTCATACCGGTTTTGGTCAGATTTCCTCTGTAATTTAGCCTGGTTGAGTCTTCCTGATTTACAGGAACACAAACCATTCCATCCCCTCCATGTTTTCCATCATCTGCTAATTACTTTCCTAATTACTCTCTTAGTTCCTGGAACAATTATCTGTTCATACCTAAGTGAATTAGGAAATAACTACTGTCAATTTCTTACTTTCTTGGAGAAAAGTTGTAATTAAAAGATTTTAAAAAAGCGTTTTGCGTCTGCTTTTAGACCAGAAGCACTGGTGCAGATTGGGAACACTGATGCAGCAGAATTTTGGAAAGGTAATGCTGGAGATTTCTGTGTCCTAAAAGCGTTGTGCCAAACTGGCAGCTCTCTGCTAGGTGCAGAGCACTAACAGTCAAACTGTAGGATCTCCCACCAACCCTTTGGAGACTCAGCCTGTTGATGACACCCTGGCAAAGCAGATGGAGAGGGCCAGTAAAGGCATACTCATGCTCTGTTGCCAAAAACTAACCCAGAAATGAGCCCAGACAGCCAAATGACTGGCTAGGGCTGAGGGATGGGTAAAGGATGTAAGAGAAGATGACAGGGCACGGTGGCAGCTTGGTGATCTCCGGAATTCATCACGCAGAGACGTGGCAGGGGACAGAACACAAGGCTTGGTTTATTCTTCCAGCACTGAGTTGAAGGTGCAAAGACTCAACCAGGATGAACTAGGCCCCAGGTTGTACCAGAGGTTTTGGTCGGATCTGATGGAGAATTTCTTCATGCAGAGCGTGGCGAGTTGGAGCTGCCTAGGGCAGTGGTGGAGTCCCCCCCTTGGAGGAACCAAAGAGATGTGTGGATGTGGCACTAAGGGAAAAGGCTTCACAGAACCACAGGGTTGGAAGGGTCCTCGAGTATCATCAACTTTCAAAACCCCTGCCACAGGCAGAGCCAACCTCCAGATCTGGTACTAGACCAGGCTGCCCAAGGCCCCATCCAACCTGGCCTTGAACACCTCCAGGGATGGGGCACCCACTGCCTCTCAGGCAGCTGTTCCAGCACCTCACCACTCTCTTGATAAAGTACTTCCCCCTGACATCCAATCTAAACCTTTCCTCTTTGAGCTTAAAACCACTCCTCCTTGTCCTGTCACTGTCTACCCTTGCAAAAAATTGATCCCCTTCCATTTTATAATGCCCTTTTAAATACTGGAAGGCTGCAATGAGGTCTCCTTGCAGCATTCTCTACTCCAGGCTGAACAAGCCCAGCTCCCTCAGCCTGTCCTCATAGGAGAGGTGCTCCATCCCCCTGATCATCTTTGTGGCTCCTCTGGACCCTCTCCAGCAGCTCCCTGTCTTTCTTGTACTGGGGGCTCCAGACTTGCACACAGTGCTCCAGATGGGGCCTCACGAGAGCAGAGTAGATGGGGACAATCACCTCCCACCCCTCTGCTGATGGAGCCCAGGATACCAATTGCTTTCCAAGCTCCAAGAGCACACTGCTGGCTCACGTTAAGTTTTTCATCCACCGGGAAACCTAGGTCCTTGTCTGCAGGGCTGCTCTCACGGAGTTCTTTTCCCAGTCTGTATTCATATCTGGGATTACTCTGACCCAAGTGGTGGTGGCACTCGGTGCATCAGGCTGATGGTTACACTTCGTGATCTTGAAGGTCTCTTCCAACTTCAGTGAACAGATGTATCTATTCTATGATTCCAATGGCGAGTAGAAGATGAAGAGTAAAGATCTTGGGGACAGAATATCCTTAAGGAGAGTGATCTTCTCCTTGCACTCTGCCTTAAAGTCAGAAGCGCTGTAGACAATCGTAGTTTCAGGGTCAGGATTTTAAAGGAAATGAAATCAAACCATCTGAGCAGCTAAGCGGCCATCTGTCCACCTAGGTCAACTGACCACAGGTGAAACACACAGATCTGGTGGCCAACTACTCTGCAGGAAAGTGCAGAGTACAGGATGCATAAAGATAACAAAACAGTAGGCTAAAAAAAGAAAAGAAAAGAAAAATATATTATTGTAAAATAAATGAAATCCACTGAGCTCTGTTTGCTCTAAGTCTTATGCAGCACGGGAAGATTTTTTGGTTGGAGGACGTTGGTGAATTATTCTTAATAAGATGAAAGAAGGTGAGTGATGGTCACTGCAGCTCGTCAAGACTGCTATACTTGCACTTGAACTCTTTTGGCCAAAAAAGGGGAAATAAAAGATCAAAAGAAGTGACAATGGAGTACAGATTTCATCAGGAATGTGGGGAAGCATTCTCTCTTGCTGACTTGGAACACTCCCTTGCACAAAGAGAGTGAGATTTAAATCATTTTCTTCGCATTTGGCTCCTTCCAGGAGTGCACTGTTACTCTGGTAACCATACCAAAGGCATTTTTTAATTTAAAGACCTAAATGAGTGAAAACCTCTACTGCAGTGGGTTGCAACACAGCAGCTATTAGCCACATCCAATATTTCACCGTCGTATTCTGCAAGATGCAGTAACTTTATTCTATCTTAAATCTGGTGATTGCAGTAATTCCTTTAGTTTATTGTCATGTGAACAATATTATGGGCTTTCAGTTCAGCAGACAACAGTGACTCACTGTCAAGAAACAAAATGACTTTCTCCGGAGATCTGGAAAGCCAGAATGCACTCCATAAATACGGCAGTGGAATACAAATTTCTACATGGCACAGTGGTGAAATAAGGCTCTAAAAAGGTTATCCATAGGATAACAACATGGAAAAAGCCCCGAATCACTAAACCACAGCACAATAACTCTGTCTCTGCAAAGGCAAAATTTAGTTATGTCCAAAAGTGGAATATGGAAGCCCTCTGGCTATGTCCTGTGACGAAATGGGAGAACTTTGCTTTGGGGCTTTAGGATAAGACTTTTCTACACAAATATGAAATATGAATGTGCACAAACACTAAAGTTGAAAAAAAATTAAATGAATTCTTCAAAGCGTTAGCTTTCCTTGGAAGGGCACAAAAAGAATCATAGAATCACAGAACGATTGGTTTGGAGAGGACCTCAAAGATCACCTTGTTTCAATCCCACTGCTATTGGCTGGGTGCCCCACCAGACTAGGCTGCCCATGATCCCATCTAGCCTGGCCTTGGATTCATGTGTACCCCTTTATGAGGCTGTCCAGGACCCTCTGGATGGCCTCCCTCCTTCTCTTGTGTCAGCAGCACCACTCTGCCAGGTGTCATCTGCGAACTGCTGAGGGTGCACTCGATCCCGTTGTCTATTACACTGAGAAAGATGTTGAAGAGCACAGGTCCCAAGATGGATTCCTGGGAGACAGCACTCATCACAGCCTCCACCTGGACATAGAGCCATTGACAGCAACCCTCTCGCTGTGATCCAATCAATTCTTTATCCAAACAGTCCAGCCTCCAAATCTGCATCTCCCCTAGGTAGAGATAAGGGTGTGGTGCAGGACCATGTTAAATGCTATGCACAAGTCTGGGTAGAGAACAATTATCCTTCCTTTGTCCACCGATGACGTCTCTCCATCACAGAAGGCTACCAGGTGGGTCAGGCATGAAGCCATGAAGCTGTTGTATTATGCAGCTTGCGTTGATGAGACTGACAGAGGTTTAGCCCAGGTCAACAAAAGGTGCAACAGGGTGAGACATTATCTATGGCTGCACAAGGTATGCAGAGGAATAACCAACAGGGAGAAGGAGAAGCCATTTGAGTTACAGAACAAGGTGGGCACAAGGGCCATGAGCTAGCTGTGAAAAACCTGAAGGAGGAAATGAGAAGCTCTCCTAGCACTGACCGTGCCCCGCGCTGCAGCCGGCTCACATAAGTTGCAATCAGTGCATGCTCATCAGCTAACTGGCCAGCAGCGTCCGCCTTGCACTGCAACCTGGTGATGGGGGAGGCAAAAAGAGCAAACAAAACACAAGGTGAATACAAAGCAAATAATTAATGGGTTTTAACGAAACAAACAGTTAAAGATTGCAACAAACAGTTAAAAATTAAAACAGTTAAAAATTAAAGCAAATAGATGAGTAATTAAAATGGTAAATATGAGTCACATGAAAAGGGTACCTTGTGAAGGTAGAGATTAGAACAGGGAACCATTTGGGTGCCCAATGTGCAGCGCATGTGGTCACTGGTGATGCTTTCACCAGCACAGTGGTTTTCATGGAGCCGCTCTGGAATTTGCTTTGGAACCAAAACTGAGTGAGATGTTGCCTCTTGGGCTCTACATAGAACTCATCCTACCGACTTGCTGCCAGCCCCAGGATAAGCCCAACCCCACAGGGCTGCAGCTCTACAAGTGCGTGGAATGAGAACTCATGCAACAAGAGGGCTAGCAAAAAGGTAAGGAGTGTGATAGAAAACAAAAAGATGCAGTGGCTGGTACCATGAAACCCACCACCTGTCAGGGGTTCCTTACGTAACACTGTGTTTGTCTTTGTTCTGAGTACACAAATAAATAAACCTATTACACTTCTGAATAATTTCGTGAATAGAGACTGAGTGCAAGAAATATTTGTTGGAAGTACTCCCACGTGGACAACTGCATGCAGCCCAGTGAGTACATGATGCTTTCCACCATAACAGCGGCATCTCAGAACCTCTGACAGGATACAGCAAAATGGCCATATTTCTTTAGTCCCAGGCATTGCACACAAAATCAACTGCAATTTTCATACACGGGAGCTTCCCCACAGGCAGGTGAGCAATGCCTGCAGACCCAACCTGCTGCCACGCCAATGTGTTGCTGTTATCTGAACATAACAGGCATTTCTTCCCAAAATAGAAGTGTACAAGACATTCCATCCTTCATTTCTGTGTCAGGTATTCAAGCTGCTCTTTCAACTTACAAACCACAGTTAATTCCTTCTCCGCACATGTCCAGGAAGTATTTGTCTCTAAGCTTTATAAATGCAGTATTTATTGCTTTCAGCATCAATATTCAGATGCTATGAAAGCAGAATTCTCGTTTTCCAGACATACAGACTCTTTTCTTCTCTGCTACGTGCAGCAACATGTCAGAGGAGTCTGCCAGAAGCAGAGCGAGACCTCGTAAAAAGGAGGAAAGTGGAATTACCCACATCACCCCCTCTGGGCAACGAGCAACCTCTGTAATAATGGGTTTGTAACAAGAAAGAGACTTCACATTAACCACTGCAAAGAGGAATTCTTAAGCAATCCACACTTTGTGAGGGCTGACTACAGCCAAGTGCTGAAAAGCTTTATTTTAGATGTGCACTATGGCTGGCACATTGCTGCAGCCATGAGAATCGAGATTCCGAGACCTTATTCATTACAACTCCACGCACGTGCTCCTGTGAAAAGAAAAAGCCCGGCAGAAATGACCACATTTTGAACTCCAAACAGCTATAGCATTAATGATGATTAGCATTTCTGCTTCTGAAAGGAGGAAAAAAGGAAGAGAGTTAAATTAACGTGAGACTGAACACTGCTCTTAGCATCTCTCTGATTCTTTTCATTTGCATCTAGAAGTCACGGATTCATAGAATCAATAAGGCTGGAAAAGATCACCAGGTCCCCAAGTCCAACCCACCCCACCGTGCCCACTGCCCACGTCCCTCAGTGCCACATCCCCACGGTTCTGGAACACCTCCAGGTTTGGTGACCCCACCACCTCCCTGGGCAGCTGCGCCACTGCATCATCAGTCTTCCAGAGAAATACTTCCTTACATCCAACCTGAACCTCCCCTGGTGCTCCAGACCCTTCCTCAGCTTTGTTGATCAACAAATGCATCACCACAATAAACAGATGCACCCTGGGAAGCATTTGTCACCGTGTTGGCAGGCAGTGCCAACTGCAGCACACAGAACATCGACATGCAGTGGGCAGGAGGAAGCGTAGGGCTCAATGGCACCCTGTGGGTGGTGGTGATGGGTTGACAGTTGGACCTGATGATCCTACAGATCTTAGAATCATAGAATCACAGAATCACAAGGTTGGAAACGACCTGCAAGATCATCCAGTCCAACCACCCTCCACATCTCCCCCCACCACATCTCGTAGCTCCTCATCCAGGCGCCTCTTGAACACTGCCAGGGACGGCAACTCCACCACCTCCCTGGGCAGCCATTCCAGTGCCTGACCACCCTCTGAGAGAAAAAGTTTCTCCTAACGTCCAACCTAAACCTCCTCTGGTACAACTTCTGGCTGTTTCCTTGGGTCCTACTATTTGCCTGGGAGAAGAGGCCAGAGCCTTTTACACCACAACCTCCCTTCAGGAAGTTGTACAGTGCAATGAGGTCTCCCCTGAATCTTGTCCAGCCTTAATGACTCTGTGATTCTCTGTGAGTGTGCATGGTGGGGATGGTTTGATGGCTGGTCTCAGTGACCTTGGAGGTCTTGCCCAATGTTTACAATCTTCAGATTCTATGAATGTAAAATTCTGTAGGTACGCACGCTGCTTTCAGAGAGCAGAAGTATGAAAATACAAAGCTAGTGCAGGTAATCCTGCGCTACAAAATGCACATCCTTCACATCTGGTTCAAACAAAAAGCACACGGCTTGTGCCCTCTCTCCTTGTACCTCACACTGAATGCTGCCCTGTTTGCAGAGGGCCTCTCAAAGCATCTCCCTCATGATTGCACCAAGAAAGCAAATTCCAGTTCTGCTGACGTGCACCTTCCACTCTTGTTTCTGCAGAGCTTGTCTCTTCCTGAATTCAGCTCCTCAGGGAAAGCCTGAGATAGCTACAGACGAGCTTAATTCTTCGTAAACTTCATCAGTGTATCATCTCCTGAACGTCTGCACAGCAATCAGTGCCCATTCAGAGCAGCTGCAGCACGGTGGCTTGCAGCAAGGCAGCAGTGTGCATAGCAGAGAGCAGCAGTGACACGTGACGGTGCTACTGACACACAGCACAGTCATGGCACATATGCCTATTTCTCAAAAACCGACTTCTTGCTGGCCTTGGTTAAGGTGTAGCATCATTGCTATGCCCCTTGGCTGCCCCATGCTCCCAGCAGGACTGCTGTGTGTAGGAGGCTCGGCAGCGCTGATATCACTGGCGTTCAGGTGGGTGAGTGAACATAACCCTCAGCCTCTGCATTTCTGCTGTTTTGAGGCTGAAATCATCATAGAATCATTCAGGTGAGAAAAGATTGTTAAGATTATCAAGTCCAACCACCAGCCTAACACTACCAAGCCCACCTTGGAAGCTTATGTGGTACTGCTGGTGAACGAGCACCGTGCTACAAATGCTCCAAAGAGTTTCATTCCTTCAGATGACAAAGAGAAGAGCAATCTCTGCTCGTCCTGGCCCAGCTCTGCCCCTCTCCATCCCCTCTGCCTCGCTGTGCCCAAGCAGCCCCACGGAGCCACGGCACAGATTCTAGTCACCAGTAGTGGAACCCCAAGGACATCCCATGGGTGCTGACTACGTCCTGGCAAATTAGGGTGATTAGCATCTTGTTGAGGTCTCCGGCCTTGTTAAATGCAGTCCTGTTCCTTGTTTTTCTAGTCTCTGTTTTCAGTGAATCACTCATATGTCAAAAAGCAGCTCTGCAATAGCCTAAGCTAATAATGAATTTGAACAGAAGTTGCCTAAATAAATTTAAGCAAAAAATAGGGAAATCAGGAAAATTAGGAAGGTACTCCAGCCCTATAAAGCCAGGCTGGATGGGCTTTGGATAGCCTGGTGTTGTGGGAGGAGGCTCTTGTTGGGACTGGATGGGCATTAGGGACCCTTCCAACCCAAACCACTCTGGAATTCTACCGCTAATGAACATGAGGTGAACGCCTGCTGTCCTGCTGAAGTTGTTTCATATAAAGCACCGAGGTGGCATTTCTACTGAATAAGATCAGAATGACTCTACAGCTTGCCCTTACTCCCTTCCACAAACGAGCACCTCACCAAGACCTCACCATGGCTCTCCTACCGCTACAAACCCCAGCCACATTACTGGCTCTCATTTTTTGCAGTCATTTTGTTCATTTGCATTTGGCTGCTAATCCACCATAATTCCCCAGATACTTCTCAACAATAGGCCTGTCTTGTCAGCCATTCTCCTCTTATTCATGCATCTTATTTCATTTTCTGTCGCTTGAAGCTGTCTTTATCCATCTCACTCCACTGATTTACAGGGCCGTGCTGAATTAGAAGCTTGCCCTCTGAAGAATTTCCATAGCGTCAGTGGGAAATTTACGTACACGCGCTCCCTATTTCATCATGCGAGCTGTCAAGCCATACACCGAGCAACGCCCAACGCTGCACAGACCCCGTGGGATCCTTCCCGACACGTGCTCCCCCTTCGGTAGGAAAATATTGATATTTTCTTTTTCTGACTGATTTTCCAACCGGTGTTGCACCCACTTAACAGTAGTTTCAACCAGTCCGCATTTACCTAGTTTATTTATGAAAATACCATATGGGATAGTGTCAAAAGCTTTATGAGTCAATGCATTGCAAATTAATGCTTCCCCCTCCTTCCTGAGGCCACCCACCCACCCAGAGCCATCCAATTTCCATTCTCTGACATGATTTGTTCCCAATATAGACGTGCCAACTATTTTTATTCCCCGGCTACATGAGTACGAGATGATTGTTTTATAATGTATTCAGCAACCCAAAGGTATTCCTTCTACCTTCAGCCATGCATTTCAACAAAAATACTTATTTACTTTATACAGCCCGAGTGCAGAGAAGCAGCAATGCCATCTCTTGGCACCACAAGGCCACCACTCCCCTTCTTTCACACTTTAATCATTAAAAAAGTGGAACTGGATTAGCTCGTGTCAGCACAGCAGCCTTACCGAGAGCTCCTTTAAGGCCTGGTGTCAATTTTTCAGAAAGCTCCTTTAAGAATTAACTTTCTGTTGGTCCTACCCTTTGATTCACACCTACCAGATGGAGGTATCTACCGTAT